CTGACTTAGATGGTAAAATGCAGGCCCTGTCTCAGGGCGCCTGGGTGGCTCATTCGGTTGGACATCTGCCTTCAGCTCAGATCATGATCACAGGGCCCTGGGATTGAGCCCTGCATTGGGCTCCCTGCTCAGTGGAGAGTCTCCTCTCTCTCTTGCTCTCCCTCTGCGTGCTCTCTCTCAAATAAATAAAAAAAAACTTTGAAAAAAAAATAAATAAAAATAAGATACAGGATCTGTCTCTTTAGCTTCCTGGCAAGTGGGAGGCTCTGTTGGTGTTCGTTAGGAAATGGACCAACTCCTTGTAGAATGCTTTGTGATGGGAACAGTGAACTTGGAGCAGGAGGCGTGCCCTGAGCAATCCTCACTTCACCTGCCAGAGCCAAAAACCAGGCAGACAAAACAGTTTTTTGTGTGCTGGCCTGGTGTCATCCTACAGTATGTCCACACCCTGTGCCCATCTAGCTATGATGTTCCTCCAGGTCATTCTGTCTCTCCCTGCCTTGCCTCCCAGCCCCACCCACCCCAAAGTACTTCCATTGTCTTTCCACTTCCCATTCTTCTCAGATCCCAGGTCCATGGTCAGCAGTATTTGTTGTACTGTGTGCGTGTTGCGTGTGTATAGTTCGTGCTTGGGTGGAGGAACCAAAGAATGAAGTAAAGAGAAGTACTTTCTCAGCATCATCATTCTCTGTCCTGGTCTACTGTTTGCCTTGGTCTCAGGTTGTCTCTGGCTGCTGCTTGGGCTCAGTTCCGATTTTGCAAGTAAACAATATGTGTCATTGTGTCACCTTCCAAACTGATGGCCCAAAGTGTGCACGTGCTGCAGAGGTGGCATGCCTCCCTGTGTTGCTTCAGGCGGAGAACCAAAGAGGCAAATGTGCCTCTTTGGGTATTCCTGTGTTTGACTCCCACATCCAAGCAGAGTCAGGGGAAAGGGCTTCCATTCCTTTCTGAAGAGTGGAGCGGAGAGAATGCACTATGGGATGCAGAACTGAAACTTGAGTGTATGACTGTTCTTCAGTTTGACTTCTGCAATCCTATGACCTTTGTTCCAAAGGCCAAAAGCGAGACAGTTCTACAAGCTTAGACGAGGATCAGTTTTAAACAAGTTGAGTTTTCCGCTGCGGTAGAAGTGGTAGTTCTGTCTTACCTAGCAGGACATCCCCTGTTTTTTCCTGGGATGACCCTGCTTGAGAAAAAGCAAGGAAGGCTGAATGGACTCAGTCATGCTAGGGATAAGGAATGAACCTGGATTTTGTCCATGGGGCAGCATATCGACCTCCTCTTTCTTCACTTTATGGATTAAATGAGTGTGGCATAGTCACCACCATGTGGGGAGCTCATTTTGTGCTTGGATACCATGTGCCTCTCCTTACACCTGCAGGACAACCTGGAGGAATAAATGATGACCCCAGAGGTCCACTCAGCATTTTGTACCCGTGTCATCACTGTGGGCAGTGCCAGGTGCAGTGGCGGTATAGATAGTGAACGCTCATGGGTCCTGCCAGCTAAAAATTGTTTTACTATGGGTTAAAATCAGATTTTGTTTTAATTCATTTTTTTTTAACTAGGCTCCAGCCCCAGCGTGGAGCTCAGTGTGGGGCTTGAACACACAGTCCTGAGATCAAGACCTGAGTTGAGCTCAAGAGTCGGGCACAACTGACTGAGCCACTCAGGTGCCTCTAAAACCAGATTTCAATTCATTCATTGGGAACCAGGTACCTAGAGCAATAAAATGAGGTGATATCAGAGGTATTGGAAGCAAGCTGTATTGAGATTGGATGAATGCCAGTGTCCCCCACCCGTGGAAAGTTGTCTACAGAATATCACAGAGGACCCAGGATTTTATTTTATTTTATTTTTTAAAGATTTTATTTATTTATCTATTTGAGAGAGGGAGAATGAGAGAGAGAGAGAGAGAGGGAGAGAGAGCATGAGAGGGGAGAGGTCAGAGGGAGAAGCAGACTCCCTGCCAAGCAAGGAGCCTGATGTGGGACTCGATCCCCGGCCTCCGGGATCATGACCCGAGCCAAAGGCAGTTGCCTAACCAACTAAGCCACCCAGGCGCTGGGACCCCAGGATTTTAAGAGCACTAATATTACATTTGAGATATATATATATATATATATATCACACACACATACATATATATACATACATATATATACAGATTACATATATATTACATATATACGTATATACACATATGTATATATGTTACATATATATGTATTTACATATATATACATATATTAGATATAATATTACATTATATATATATATATATATATATATATATATCAAGAATTAGGTATTTTGGGGTTAAATACAGTATAAAATTCCTCTTTACCCTAAGGATTTTAGCAATAAATAAATTTATTTGTGAGGCCAAGACACTACTCATGAGTATGGAGATTTTATACATAGGAATCTGTATTTTTATAAAGTCTGGTTTTGTATTTCATGTTTAAAAGCTTCCTGTTTGATTGTTGAGAGATTCAAGTCTATTTAATTTTAATACTGTCTCTGCCTTCATGCTCAAGATCATAGAGAGGTTAGAGAAGACCGTTTCAACTTTGATTGCTCGTAGCATTTGTCAATAAGATATGCCTCTGATTATTTAAGGTTTTGTATAAAACCTGTTCCCTGTGCCTTGTTTTTAACTTTTTCCTTGTTCCCATATTCATAGATGAAGAATCCTTTTTTCTTTTGCTCTAAATTGCATTCATAATCATTAGTTTGTAAAGATGACTGTCTTTTTAGAGAGTAGGCAAAAAAGGATGAATGTAATTTAAATTTAACATATTTTTATACTTTGTATTTTAATATTTTTTAGAGTAAGCAAACAAGTATATTCTATTTCCAGGTTTTATTTAGAGATTTCTTTGTGGGTTTTTGTTTTTTTTTTTTTTTAGTCACATTTTTAAAATCAGAACTTTCCTGCCTTTTCTTGGTAGGCTTTAAGTAACTGACATAATTTTGAAAATTTCTTTTGTTTTTCTTTGTTTTAAATTTAAATCATTGTCTGTTTATTTTGCCCATAGTAGTGTACTAGTCATTCTATATGTTTGTTGGGAAGATTCAATTTTTTAAGGTTTTCTTCAAGAAATGCCATTTTTTAGATTTTAAGTTCTTATGTTTCACCTGTATCCCTCATTAGGTTACTATTTCTATTGATTTACATTTCTTACTGAAAACTTTATTTATGTATATGAACATTAGTAATTGAATGTCAAGAGAAAACCTTCATAAGTGATTTAGATCAAATACTAAATGTAAAAAATAATATAGCCATCTTTCTAGCAGTTAACTCATATTTCAGTTAATTTGGTTAAATTAACAAATAACTTGGCTGAGATTTCCAGGGTATAAATCTGTCATTTGTAATTTCTTTTATTAACATTAACAAGTTGATATGTTTACTATTCCTGTATTGGAATGAAAGAAGACATCAATTTGAATTAACACTAAATAAATTATAAAGTATCTTTTTAAAACAATCATACTATCTGATTTAATGATTATGAATTTTGAATTTAATAGGTCATATATAGTTCTTGATAGATGAGTTGATAGTATCACAGTCCACCTTTATAATTAAGTATCAAGGGTCTATTCTTAATCAGCGATTCTTTAAGGCTGACTAAACGTGATCTTAATTACACTCACAGAAATGTCAAGGGATGTTGATTGTTTCGGTAAGGAAAATAAAATGATGCAGCCTGACCTTAACAAATTATAAATAAGGGAATGTTTACAAATGATAATAAGCAGCAAACTTTTAAGGGAGAGGATTGGTTCCCAAGTCAGTATTGCTGAAAGAAATTGAGTTTGGTCTTTAAATGTATTATCTGAATATTGAGAAATGTTCCTTTCAAATATTCTGTGCAAAGTCTCAAATATGTCCATGGTATCTAATTTGGAAGTCAGGTGAAAACTTCTCTTTGAAGCGCCTGTTAAAACAGGTATATTCTGAATTCAAGAAGAGATTATGATAAACCTTCAGTGGTAGTTGAGGGCAGCCCAAGTGTAGGAGGATAGAATGACAGTGCCCTGAACCTTATTATAGGTGAATTCGGTGAGGTAACCTACTGGCTTTTACTCCCCTTTTTCTCACTGCTTTCCTGCTAATAGAGAATGCAGTGCCAGTCTGCGCTGAAGGAAAAGTACATGAAGGGGAGATAATTTTTGCGTCATCATCAGCCAGTTTCGTGTTTATCTTATTCTTTGCTGCTTGCGAGAGTTATCTGCGAATCCAAATACGTATTTTATAACTTGGTCCAGGCAGAAACAGGAAAATGTAGTTGCCCTTTGCCCGAATGTAGCAGGTTATTTCTATTGAGTGCATACCCAGGATAAAAAGAGTTGGTAGTGTGCCTTTGGCAAAAGGCTTTCACTATTATTGTAATACCAACTAGGGTCCGTTTTTATGATAACAAAATATTTACCTTAATGAGGAATTTGAATGGAGTATTCAAGATGAAAAATGAATCAGTAGTGAAATACATCTTGGGCATCGGCTGCTCTATTGACAAAAGGCACAAATAGGAAATTTGTCTAAATAATTAGATTTTTAATTAGTGCATCATTGTAAGATGAATGTCACTGCGCTTCACTGCATGTAATTTTGTATTAGAAATTTCATGTCAACAGAGATGCTACCTGTGGTTTGCTGATTTGAATCGTTAATTTATCACTTGGGTGTATGGCGTGTCACCTCTTTGCAGTTGGGAGCAGAAAGAAGGCATTTAATTACAACTTCACTGGTGGTGAAACATATTGGTGGTGTTATGCAATATGAATACATTATATTTTCTAATATTCAGGGAGCAGCCACCCCTCAAATATTAGTGAGTGCATATTAACTTGCAAAGCTTTAAGCCACAGCCTGGGCAGATAGGTTGCTGAACCTCTAGTATCTGTGTATATTGAATATACCTGGACATTAGTGACGTTATATGTGCTTTTTCAAACTTTGATTTTGTTTTTTCTTTTCACAGTTGCCGAACAAGCAACCGGAAAAGCTTGATAGGCAATGGACAGTCACCAGCACTGCCTCGACCACACTCACCTCTCTCTGCTCATGCAGGTAACGACTTACCCTTTCTTGAGTTGTGTCTTCCTTCTTCTTGCTGGTTCTTAAAATAATCCAAGCATTTGGAAATTTTTATCTTTCCTGCTTATCTTGGTTTTCCTTTTGTTTTATCAGTACTTTGTTCTTTCTGATAAGTTAGCCCAAACCTCCTCCTCTCTTTCAGAGTGTTTGGACACTGAAATTGAGAATTTTTTTTTTTTTTATATGGGATCCTTTTTCAGTTATTGATTTCTCCATTTCTAAATCTGTGGATCCTACAAGACAGGTTTCCATGTTGGGATTATCTCTGGGGAATGCAGATGTGTTCGTTCACATGAAGAGGATCAGTGTTCAGAACTCTAGGGAAGGAAAAATACCTTTTTTCCTGCCCTTTTAAGTTCTCCACTGGGAACCTCCTAACCCAAGACAGATTTACAAGAGAAGAGCAAACACATTTATTTAATGAAGATTTCTGTGACACAGGAGCCTTCATGAGGGAATGGAAACCCAGAGACATGGTTGACTCACCAGAGTGAATTGATGCTAGGTTTGAGGAAGAGTGAGCAGTTGTGCAAGGACAGGGCAGAAATGAGCTAACTCTAGTAAACCAGGGCAAACTGAGCAAGAGCTGTACATGCACAATCCTCCATCCATTGTTTTCAGGAATCAAGACGCTCCTTTGCTTTAGGTGCACATGCACAGAACCTTCCTGCACATGCCATTTCTCCTATTTCTTCAGCTTAAAACACTGCTGGTCGGGATGCCATATTTTGAGGCCACGTGTCTTAACCTCCTTCAGAACCATTCAGCATTTATTCTCCCGAAAGTTGAACTTACCCGTTACTTACATTCCCTGTTACAAATAATGCTGCTAGTAACAGTCTAGGATATATCTTCTCTAGTATGTGTGCAAGAGTTTATCTCAGGTTTTGCCTGGAAATGGCAGATATAACTTATTTATTACCTCTATAATCATTATAGGGATAGTGAAGATTGAGATATGAGTTCTTGGCCTCAAGTACCAATTATAAGCAAGGTATAGCCATATTAGAAAAACTGTGTAGTGAAGATTACTATGAATGTTGGGTTGTTTTTTTGTTTGTTTGTTTGTTCGGTTTTTTTGGGGGGGGGTTGTGGTTTTTTTGTTTGTTATTTTTAATTATCCGTGATGTTGCAAGGTAGAGAAGGGTTAATTCCAACCAGGAAAGTATGGGAGAGTTTGAAGGAGCCACTTAGTCAGGATGCTGAAAGCCAAGCAGGACTCGGGCTGGTAGAAATGGGGTGAGAGAAGGGGAATTACCAGTGTGGCTGGAGTGGGGCATGCATGTTGGATTGTAAGAAAACATGAAGGTGGAAAAAGAGGTGAAAGAGAGTACAAGGGATTTGGATTTTGATTGCCTTTCAAGGATTTGAGGAGGATCTGTGTTTTGAGAAGCTGTCTTGAGGATTGTGAAGGATGACGGGTGGAAAGGATGGATGAGTAAGCCCTAAGTCATTGTACTCTGGTAGAAGCTCTAACCCCAGTAGGCTTTCAGATGATACTCATTTCCTATTTAAAAATAGGACTCTGACTCTTTCCTGAAGGCAATCCTTTTGCTCAGGGGTTGCTTTCAAATTGAGATTGGGAGTTAACAGTAACAGGTTTGGGGAGAAGAAACGAGAGAGTGAGATAGTTGCCCCTTTGGAACAAAACTTTATTTTCTCTTTAGTGATAAAAGATGGCAAAGCAAAAATGGTAAAACAAGAGTTGATAAAATTATGATACTAAAGCAAGACCACTGAAGTTCAGAGATACCATTCTCAGGTAGAACTTGAGAGAAACTTTTGCACATATACACAAGAGGGCATGGTCGAGACTCCTCGTAGCCACACTGTGATAGCGAAACATCTGAAGCCCCCTAAGTAGCTTTCGGTTGAAAAATGGGTAAATGAGTTGTGGCATAGTCATCACAGAACACTGTGAACAAAGGAAGTATTAACACCGCGCCTGTCTGCGTGGACGCAACTCTGAGAGTGTTGGACAGCAAAAGCCAACTTGCAAAAAAAGTTAGTTGAAACTATTCATGTAAGGTTAGCATGAAGCTATTTTTTGTTTAGGGATACCCACATACACTCTTAAACATGTATATACATTTCTTTTAAGAGCCTAAAGGAAAACATAGTCCTTTTAAAGACAGATTTCATGGTAGTAATTACCTCTGAGAAGGTGTGAGGGAGATATCGCTGGGGGAGGGGGAAGCAGTCGGTAATAGTGGATTTCCACAACTCCTTGATGACCACCCAGCTAATTCTGTCATTAGCGTTTATACCATGGAGATGTATATTTACATTATCATTAGAATAGTCAAAGGTGACAGAGGGGCAAGCAAGGCCAAATACCTACTTGGGGCTGGAATTCTATCTTTTTTTTTTTTTAAGAATTGCAGTCTTGGGGCGCCTAGGTGGCTCAGTCGGTTGAGCTGCTGCCTTCGGCTCAGGTCATGATCTCAGGGTCCTGGGATGGAGTCCACAACGGGTTCCTTGCTCAGTGGGGAGCCTGCTTCTCTCTCTGCCTGTCTCTCTGCCTGCTTGTGTGCTCTCTCTCTCTATGTCAAATAGATAAATAAATAAAATCTTTAAAAAAAAAAAAGAGTTGCAGTCTTATTTTTTTAGAGAGAGAACAAATGCACATGTAGGGCAGTGGGTGAGGGCAGAGGGAGAAGGAGAGAGAGAATCTCATTCAGACCGCACACCCAGCGTGGGGCCTGACGCAGGGCTCGTTCTCATGACCCCGAGATCATGACCTGAGCTGAAGTCAAGAGTTGGACGCTCGAGCACCTGAGCTACCCAGATGCCCCTGGAATTGTTTCTTTACATTCTTCCTGAAGAGTTGTGGCAATATATACAAGTGCTAAGTGTATCATGAATTTTATTTCTTATGTGTAATTCAGTAGTGATTAAAAACTTCAATCCTACTCCTCTCTGTAGTGTTCTTTAGTAATTGTACCCTAGTTTATGTGCCCACTGATGAGTCTTTTATTGCTGTGATTTTCTTCAGTGCTAATATTGAGAGTAGAGAAAATGTGGTGAAGACTTTAATGATCCTTTTAATTATTTTTCTTTTTCTCTATGTAGACTTAGCTTGAATTCTTTCCTCTTCAGACATAATCAGAGGAGTGGGCAGAGAGAAGCCTGTCTATCAGGTTCTGACAGCATTTTCCCTCAGGTCGAAGAGCCAACAGGTTTTTATTTGCTCAGAACCTGTAGAACTCTGTCAGACTTAATTTGTGAGACATGGTATTTATCACAATCTGGTAGTTTCCTATTTATGTATAATAAGAGGAGGAAAATGTAAATTAAATAAAGACCAGTCCTCCTGTCTTGATGATGGTAAATGCCTGCCCACTCACCTTGCCTCATCACCTCTTCCTTCCTGTTGCTGTCTTCTGTGTCATGTGTTTGAGACAAAGAATGCCAGAGAGAATTCCCAAATGTCTTTACAAAACACAAGAGAAAGAAAAACCACCATCTTTCAGTGCTTACTGACCCAAAGATAAAGTTAGACTTTTTATTTATTTATTTTAGGTCAGGCTTATGTGAATCAGGCCACTCATCGCTGACACATGAATTAATCCCCTGTCAAATGAATTGTTAGAGATGAGAACGTGAATTCACTTGTGCGGATGTGTCAGTAGGGCTCTAAGGAAAGAGAGCCCGGCATAGTGTTCTGGAGCTTATCTCTACAAACAAAATAGTGTTTGTTGAGAGCGAGGGATTCCTAAAAGAGCAGTGAATAGGAGTCCCATTAAAAAAAAAAAAACAAACAAACAAACAAAAAAAAGGCAGAAAATCACAGGCTCCTGGTTCTGGGTAGATTTTAAGCATGAAATTTAATCCAGAAGCTCCAAAGGAAAAGACTAGTGTATCTCCCCTAACATGAAGATTTCTCTGTAGTAAATAAAATCAAAAGGAAACGAAGTGTGAGAAATCTTTTTATGCCCGTAATAGAGAAGTATCTGACTGTCTTAACAGAGGCACAAAGAGCTTGTATAAATTGATAGGAAAATGGCGAATGCACCCAAGATGTCAATGGCACATCATAGAAAACAGATCAAAATGTTCCCCCAAAAGTATGAAATGATTCATTGCAATCATGAGAGAAATGTGAGCCATAGTAGAGTATCATTCACCTGACATATTGTCAAAAACTTTATAAAACTGACAGACTCCAAAGACAGCAAGATTGTCGAGAAAGAGGCCCTGCCACGTGACCTCAGTATCAATGATGTGACTGGTGCTACCATTTTGGTTGTAGCAGTTTGTCCTGTTGGTGAAAACTGCAACTGCATTTACCCTTTGGCTCAGCCAGTTCGTCTCTAGAAAGTAATCTAGGGAGATTCTCGCAAAATAACAGAAAATAACAAGGCTAGTGACTTGTAAAATCGCAGATGGAAAGTGAAGTTATTACCATTTCATCATTTAACGTGTCCTTCAGTAGGGGACTGGTTTTGTAGAAAATGATTCAGACATACAGCCCGGCACTGCATGGTTGTTACAAAGAGAGAGATAGACTTTCATGTTCTGATATTAGATTGATGCTCAAGATGGGTGGTTAAGTGAAAAAATACACTGTGTAATTTTCTACGTGTGTGTGTGTTTTAGACAGCATAGATGCATATAGGCACACTTGTATATCATGCATATTCATAGGCAATTTTGGAAGGAGAAAGGAGAGACTTAGCACTGTTAATCTTTGGGGACTAGGAAGGTAGGGAAATTAGCATACAGTGGTTTTATACTAAAATAAGGCTCTAAAAATAAGCCAATAAAGAAAACAATACCCACCTTAGTTTTCTCTCGTAGTGTAATAAATTACCAAAAATGTACTGGCTTAAAACAGTATCCATGTATTAATTTTATGCTTCTGTGGAGCAGATATCTGGGTACACTTGACTTGCTTAAGCTCAAGGGATTCTCAAGCTATCAGAAGGCCAAAATCAAAGAAAGGTGGGAAATCCCAAGTTTCTAGTTCCCAA